AAACAAAAAAGCTTAGTCTCAATGGGTCCTCTGATATTCAAGATTTTATTTTGTTAATTTGTTTGTTTATTTGTTTGGAGGCCACACCTGGCTGTGCTCAGGGCTTACTCCTGGCTCTGCTTTCAGTGATCGCTCCTAGCAGACTCAAGGGACCATCCAGGGTACCCTGGATCGAATTCAGGTAGACTGCATGCAAGGCAAATGACCTATCTGCTATACTATTGCCCGGGTTTTGTTTTGTTTTGTTTTTTTTATTTTCAAATGTTTCACTGAGGTTATTTCTTTGTTTTAAGGAATCACAGCACAGCCTGAAATGCCCTAATTGCCAGTAGCCTAATTTTAGAAATAGACGAGGTGGATCATTTTCATCTGCTCACATAAACCCGTGTAAGTTTTTTACCACAGGTGGCGATTTCAGAAATGAAAGTTACAGCTAATCAAACACTTAGCCCACATGCCTTAGTGATTTTAATGATATGATTTGTTGCTATGAGACAAAAACATGTTGTGCGGGAAATAATCTCTTAGACATCATATGACCTTGATTCAAAGGCTTTTGATTAACAGCACTAACATCCGTGGTTTTTTTTTTTTTTTCTGGAAGAAACACAAAGCCTATGATTAGAGCTTGGTAGCCCTTTTAAAGCAAGTGAAATAGTATTCGACATTCATTAATAGCTTTGAGAAGCAAATAGGGTTCCAGACATTAAAAATGTTCAAGGCCACAGGTAGCCTTTCTCCTCCTGTATCTTAACATTCTCTTTCCTGTTTTCCAGAGGGAGATACTGAATGAAAGAAAAAAAAATCCCCAGTGGTCATTAGATGACTAGTAAGCCAACTGTATGGCCAAAATGACTTACTTTTCTCTCTGTGCATGGAGCTGGCTGGGGGTGGGTGCAAGCTTCCGTCTTTCCTTGGCTGAGCACTCCCTGTGAGCCAGCACTGTCTCTAGGTATGCGGGGGCCACACACGGCTGTGCTGCTTGCAGAGCTGATGCAACGGCAGAGAAGATAGATAAGAAGTGATTCACACACATTTACACAATCACATGGCAGCTCCAGATACAGTAAAAGGGGAGGAAATAAAGCAACTGGGAGAAGGGGCGGGCCTCTTTGAACCAGTGGTCTCTGGGCTGAGTTGTGAATGACAAGCTGTCATTCAGTAAGTAGGCAAGACAAATAGGGCAAAACCATTTTGAGATGAGAGGATGGCAAACTCAGGGTGAAGAAGGGAGAGATTAGTATGGGATGTTTAAGACAAAAAAAGATGGTCAGGGTAGCTGGGGGAGCCTGTGAGTGTGGAGATGAGGTCGAAAAGAGCAGGATGCCATCTTACAGGGCACAGTGAAAAGTGCAACAGGGGATGGAGAGATAGTACAGCAGATAAGTGGCCAACTATAGTTTAGTCCCCAGCACTGCATATGGTCCCATGAGTTCCATCAGAATGGTTCCTTAGCTCTGAGCCAATAGTAAACCTTGAGCAAAGCTGGGTGTGGTACCCAAACCAAAAACAAAACCCAAGAGAGTACAACGGGGGATGGAAGTGCAAGTGGTGACTAAAAGGGATAGTGCACAGCCTTTGCATGAAAAAACTCAAGTTGATCCCCAACACCATATAGTCCCCTGAACACTACCAGGAATAGTTTCTGAGCAACTCATTGGGAGTATCTCCTGAGCGCCACCAAATGTTAAGACAAAGGAGAAGAGATAAGATGAGATGAGACCGTATCCAGTTGTAGCCCAGCTGCCATGGGCTTTCAAACACTCTGAGCAGAGAGCCAGGAGGAGCCCCTGAGTACAAGTGGAGTGGACTGGTGGATGTGGCCCAACATACCCCTCACCCCACAAAGACATCTGAAAGTAGGACTTGTCCCTCTGTGGTCACTTGCTGGCAGTAGCCCTTTTGTTTTTTTTCTAGCTGGAGAAAGAGCAGTGGTTAAAAACCAGCCCTCTTGTTCTGAAACCTTCACTAGTGATCTAGACCTCCCCGAGAATAGAGCTCACCTGACGCAGAGGCTGTCAAAGCAAAACCTGAGTGGTGTCCGTCTTCTAGGTGTTAGGGTCCCAGTGCTCTCCACACCCTGCCTCCTTTACCAGCAGGATGGCTGTGCTAGACATCAGCTCCCTCTAGCTGCCCCCACCCTCGACCCTCTCTAACCTCATGCCCATCAGGACCAGGAGACAAGCTGGTAGAAGGGGTAGGATCATTTTCACCAGAGGAAGCAGACAGGGAGGTCCTGGCAGGAGCCACAGTGAAACAGACCACAGACTGGAATCAGGGACCCTGACGAATCTGAGATCACCTTGGGCACACTTCCAGGCTCATCCATCCAACAGGTTCCCAGAGCCCTGACACTGGGTTCTTGAGGGCAGCCATACTAATGAACACAACGTTTCTTTATCTTTTGCTCTCTACACCAGTACCCTAAAGTAAAGCAAAGACACATGCAGTGAAAGAAAACTAACGAGGCAGCCCTAGGGGATAGGTTGGTAGCCAAAGTGCCTGTCTAGCAAGCATGAGGCCACGAGTTCAGTCCTTGGTGCCACCCACATGCACTAAGGACTGTCCCACATGTCTACATCAAACCCTGAAGACCCCATGGCTCCCAGCTTCTTACTAAGCCATCAATAGATGCTTCTTTCATTCCACATCCTGGTTGTGGCCTTATCTGGCACTTTCTTGATCGCTCATAAAGCTTACCAGCTCCCCTTCCTTTTTGCTGTTGTTGCAATGACCAAGGTCACACACTTGGCAGTGGTACTGCCACTTCTGACTTGTCTGTGGTACTTGGAGGGGTGCAGCACACATTTTGGCTGTGGGGCTCCTGTGCATTCTATTTGTAGTGGCCGTGGAGATTGCTGTGGTGCTTACACATCTGCTCACTCCTGGCTGTGGTATTCATACATCTATTGTAGTAGTGCTCTCTGAGGTCACACATTTCAGTGTGCTCACATAGCCCTGGCTGTGGTGCTCAGAGATTTCATACTTTGTTGCTACCCCAGGGATCCCAGATATTAGAGTTGCTGGGACTGTACTCAGTTCATGTGGGTGGCATCAAAGATTGAACTCATGGCCTCAAGCTTGCAAGGAAGGCACTTTGGCCACCAACTCATCCCCTAGGGCTGCCCCATTAGTTTTCTTTCACTGCATGTGTCTTAGCCATAGAGCAAACAGACTTGATTATTACTTTATAATCAGGAGGGGGAAAAATAAGACGTTATTTATTTTTCAAATATAAGCCAGGGAAGTGATTCAACAAAGAAGCACATGCCTTGCATGCATGAGACCTCGGTTTGACCCCTGGCACTACAGAAAAAATACAGCTCAAATAAGGTTCCTGGGCAGGAGAGAACTCCGTGGACTGGAGCACATGTTTTGCATGCAGAAGGCTGGGATTTGATCCCTGGAACCAAATGGTTTCCTAAGCTCAATCAGAAGTGATCACTCCCCCGCCCCTACACACACACACATACCCAGCACAGAGCCAAGAGTAGCCCAAGTACTGTCAGGTGTGGCCCCAAAATAGACTAAACAAAAACTAAGATTCCTTCTTGCTCTAAGTGATTAGGGTCCTTCATCCAGCTTCTGCTTGGGCAGAGATAGCACTGGATGGGGCATCATGGGGCCAGAAGATTTTCTTTTGTTGGGTTACCCCCCCAGGCCTCTCATGCCTCTTGGAGACTGGACCCACACCTAAGGTGTATCCCACCCCTTACCTCTCAGAGTCCTCAACACCTGAGCCCTTGTGGTAGATGACACCTTCCATATGTCACTTCCAGTCCTGGCTGTGGCCCCACCCTGCCCTCTTCTAATTGCCCTGACCCGAGTGAACAGAGAACAAGACAGCTGGGCGGTGATGCCAGCTGATTGGCTGTTCTCCAGGGACAGGAACCAAGTGCTCATTCATTTGCTCCTTCTGAAGAGGGAGTGGAGAGGTATGGGGAGGGCTGGGGTGTGGGTGTGTCCCCATGTCATGGGGGTAAGTAGTAGGGTAAGAGAGACTCTTCATGGTTAGGTTGTCCTGTGTATTTTATTAAAATAGGAGCTTGGGTGGAATTTGCACTTTCTGATTAGAACACAAAGCAGGAAACTGCACTTAGAATTTTAGTTTAAAAAGCCAGTTTCACAATAGCCAAAATCTGGAAAAAACCTGAGTGCCCTAGAACAGATGACTGGTTAAAGAAACTTTGGTACATCTACACAATGGAGTACTATGCAGCTGTTAGAAAAGATGAAGTCATGAAATTTACATACAAGTGGTACTACATGGAAAGTATCATGCTAAGCGGAATGAGTCAGGAAGAGAGGGACAGACATAGAAAGATTGCATTCATCTGGGAATATAAAGTAACAAATTGGAAGACTAACACCCAAGAATAGCTGAGATAAGTACCAGGAGGTTCACTCCATGGCTTGGAGGCCAGCTGCACATGCTGGGGAAGAAGGCAGCTCAGATAGAGAGGGGAACACCAAGTAAAGGGTGTTAGGAGGATCCTCCCAGGATGAGAGATGCATGCTGAAAATAGACTATAGACTGATCATGATTGCCACTCAATGCCTCTTTTGCAAACCACAGCACCCAAAAGGAGAGAGAGAACAAAAGGGAATGTCCTGCCATGGGGGTGGGGTGGGATGGGGGTGGGGAGGTGGGAAGGATGCTGGGAGCATTGGAGGTGGGGAATGGGCACTGGTGGAGGGATGGGTACTCAATCATTGTATAACTGAAACCCAAGCACAAAAATTTGTAAGTCTACAACTGTACCTCATGGTGTGTCACTAATAAAAATTTTAAAAAAAGAAGTAAAACAAATAAAAAAAAGCGAGTGACTCAATTTAACAAAAATGATCAAGTCAGTACTAGCACAGATAGGTAAACCACTGTGGAACTCAAAACTGGCATCTGGAACCTCCAGTTGGTAATCAAGGCAAAAATTGTTCTGTGCTTCCTGTCTTTTCATGAAGAAACCAGAATAATCTGTCCTGTTGTTATCTTCACCTAGATGGCCAAGAGTACCCTAGGGCAGCCTACCAACAAGTGGTCCAGCCAGCCCTGCCCGGGCAGCCCCTACCTGGAGCCAGTGGGAGGGGCCCTCATCCTGTGCAGAGAGTCTTCTTGAATTATCCGAGTCCCTGGGACCAAGAAGAGACGCCTGTACATAGAGACTTCTCCCCTCCAGGGATCCCAAGGTACCAGTAAGTATACTGACTCTCAGATATTTTGTTGTTGTTTTGGGACCACATCCATTGATGCTCAGCACTTACTTCCTTGCAGTGCTCAGGGGACCAAATGGGATGCCGGGGATCAAACCCCAGGTTGGCCACGCACAAGGCAAATGCTTTACCAGCTGTACCATCTCTCTGGCCCAAATTCTCAGATCTTCTTTTTTTAATTTATTTTCCCACTTTCTTTAAACATTGTGGTTTACAACATTTCTTGTGATTTGTTATTGGCATTCAATATTCCAGTGCCAATCCCACCATCACTGTCTCCTTCCCGCCACCATTTCTCAGATATTTTTAATGTGTCAAAGAATTATCCCTAGCAAAATGCAAGCAAGAGGCCTCAGTATGGCCTGAATATGACTATCTGGACCCACCAGCAGGCAGAGAATCTCCATGAGTGTCCCCTCAGCACTACTTGGGAGGGCTCTCTTGGTTTACAGACCTTAGTCACCTGGTTGGTGACTAAATCTCACAGGGAAATAATAAAGTCTGTTCAGGTCAGGATGAAATGAAAGCCAATTACCAACAATCCCTGCACCAGAAAGCAAAGTGCTTAGTGACCTCCTAGTCAAAACTCTTAGAAGATGCTCAGTCACACCCCTCCCCCTCTTCACTTTCAGGTTACCCAAGATTTTTGCTCACAAAATAGATTTTTCTTATTTATCTGAGACTGACTTCCACCATTAGGAACTTGGGCATGGTTTATTTATATTTTTTTCTGTTTTTTTGGGGGGGGAGGGTTGGGAGTGGGGGAGGGGCTGCAGGGAGACCTACACCCAGAGGTGCTCAGAGGCTATTTCTGGCTTAGTATTCAGGGTTCGCTCCTGGCAGTGCTTGGACAACCTTCTGCAATGCAGGGGATGAAATCAGGTTCAGTCATGTGCCAGACTTAACTTCTGCATGATTTCTCCAGCCCAGGAAGTTTTTTGTTTATTTTTTTGTTCAGTATCTCTAATTTGGTAACTATTTATTTTGAAATTCTAAATTTAATTAGTTAGAATAGAAATAACCTGGGTGGTTTTTTTGGTTGGTAATAAAATCATTCACACATGTTGAACACTATGATTAGATCTTTTCTAAAGATCTTTCTGAGAACAATACTCATTTTCTTCCTTCAGTTATCAATCACATTTCTCTTCATTATATACATACACGCGCACACACACACACACATTGGTGGGGGTTCTATGTCAAGATTTTGGGCCTAATTTATGGATGTAAATGATATAGAAAATACACATATTAAAGGAGAACATACTAATTTATTACCGAGGGGTTTCTTTTCTTTCTTTTTTTTTTATCTGTAATGGGCAGTGCTCAGGGACTAAATTTGTCTCATTGCTTAGAGGTTGGCCCCTGGGGAGTCATAAGACACGGGGGATTGAACCCGGCCTCTTTTCTGGGAAGCATGTGTTCAACCTATTGAACTATTTCTCCTGACACTCAGGGTGCTGCCTAATTTATGACAAAATTGGAGAGTGCCTGAACTGTTTGCTCTTGCTCAAGCACAACTTATATTTACTGTTAAAAATAAAGCTGTATTTGTTTTGAAAATAGAATGAGATAGGAAGATCATATTAAGATGAATTTTTCAGAAAAACAAAAATGGTAATTAGCTCCAAATTTCGAAGAGAAAGAAGAATGGGGGATAATGCCCAGTTTCCTCACAGATAAGGCCTGTGCTTGCTTTTCTTTTACTTGGGAGTTCACACATTCACTGATTTTCTTTCTAGACCAGTGCCTTTGTCTTTAAGCAAAACAACATCAATTTTAAATATTGGAAATAAGTAAACTGTGGTTTTACAACAGGGTAAGCTTTGTTGTTAAATAAATACCTAAAATTCTAAGACAAAATGTAAGCAGCTCTGTGAAATAAATTGGGTGTTAAATAGGATAGGCAGCAGTCATTTTTAAATAAATTTTATTTTGAAATGCTTTTAGATTTACAGAAGAATTGCAAAGGTAGTACAGCGTAATTGCTTTTGTACCATCAATATAAGCCTGCTATGGTCTCCTTGGACTTATTTTATCATTTTAGAATAATGAAAAATAAGTTCAGGTAATAAAGCTAATTCTCCTCTTACTGATAATTTGAAAAAGAAGCTTAATACAGAAAGTTTATTCTGCCATTAATCTTCATGATGTTTTCATATGGAAGTTTTTTAATATTATCAAGGATTTAACATATTTTTATCTAATGAGCAGTCATCTTTTATAACAACCAAGCAACTTTGGGTATAAAGGGATTTAATGCAAAAGATAGGGAGCAGACTCCCATTGAATCAAAACATTCTATAGGAATTTTTAGATTCAGAACATTCACATTTAGAAACATAGTACAGTTTTGATTTTAGATTTAGAACATTTTGTTCTATTTAAAGCAGTTTGACTTTATAACATTTTGATTTTAGAAATTTAGAATATTTTGATCTTAGAAATTTAGAACATTTTGATTTTAGATTTAGAATATTCACATTTAGAAACATAATACAGTTTTTGATTCTATTTGGTTTTCCTTTAAATCCTGTTATATAAGACTCTCAGGATTTTTAATTGCTCTTTGGTTCAAAATATGAAACTATGGGGGGCTGGAGTGATACCACAGTGGGTAGGGCATTTGCCTTGCACGTGGCCTGACCCGGGTTCAATCCCCAGCATCCCATATGGCCCCTCGAGCATGGCCAGGAGTAATTCCTGAGTGTGTGAACCAGGAGTAACCCCTGTGCATTGCTGGGTGTGGCCCAAAAAGCAAATATATATATATATATACATATATATACATATATGAAATTATGGAGAGGAAGCTTATGAGGCAGAAGGTGCATATTTTATCCCCAACATTGCGTGACCACCCTGAGCATGAAGCCAGAAGTATCCCATGAGCAACACAGGGCATAGCCTCCCCAACAAATGGTATATAAGTGTTTGTATGTGTGTGTTTGTACATATATATATGCAGTATAAAGGTAAAGGTAAAGGCCCTCCCGTTGATCGTCGATTTGCTTGAGCGGGCCCAGTAACGTCTCCATTGGAGACTTTGTTGTTACTGTGTCTGGCATATCGAATACTCTTGGTAGCTTGCCGGGCTCTCCGAGAGGGGCGGAGGAATCGAACTCGGGTCGACCATGTTGGCCGCATGCAAGGCGAACGCCCTACCCGCTGTGCTATCGCTCCAGCCCCATATGCAGTATAAAAGCTTGAAATTTTTTAAATACATTAAATGAATCAATAAGGTATTAAAGCTGAGTAAATGCATATGTATTTTATAATTAAAACATTTTTTTGAATTGTATTACAGGTCCAAAAAGATCATAATTCAGGGTAAGGGCACAAGTCTTGCATGAACAGGGCCCTGAGCTGAATCCCTAACTGGTTCCACAGGAAATGCCAAATATAGCCAAGCATGACCTAGGTGGCTGTGGTGTACCTTTCGGCCTGAGTAGCTCCACTTACCTAGGCCTGAGCATTGAAGCACCAAGACAAGCCGGTCAAGCACCACTAGGTCCCCACTATGCTGCTTGGGAGCCCCACCCCTCAAATGTATGCTATTAAATAATTTTAGACACAATAAATGACAAACATCTAGGTAGAAATACCTCAATCTTGTTCTCTCTCTCTCTCTCTCTCTCTCTCTCTCTCTCTCTCTCTTTCTCTCTCATCTTTAGGTTTTTGGGTCACACATAGTAATGCTCAGGGGTTACTCCTGGCTCTGTGCTCAGGAATCACTCCTAGAGAGCTCGAAGACCCATACGGGATGCCAGGGATCAAACCCGGGTCAGCCTTGTACAAGGCAAATGTCTGTCTGACCTGCTATACCATTGCTCCGGCCCCTAATTCTCTCTTTTTTTAAAATTTAATTTTTATTGAATTATCATTGACTCACAGTACTATGAATTTTGAGGAGCTTGACTGTAACTGTCATCACCGCAACCACTAATGTTGCAGTGCCACCCCACCACCAATAAAACCCCTCTCCCATTTCTCCCTCTTCCTTCCTCCCCTTGCCCTCTGGTAACCCCATAATTTTCACTTTGTTTAGATGTTGGTTTTGCTATTTATTGCCAGTTTGTTTTCTCTAGTCATTTATGTTCCACATATGTGTTGAATCATCTAGTAACTCATTTATTTCACTTGGCAAAAATCACATCAAGTCCCAAATATTTTAACTCAAAAGATAATATTTCATATTTTTAATTTGTTTTTGGTAGTGGGGAGAACTTCCTAAGCAGTGCTCAGAAGGTTCAAGGGCCCTAGGCAGTTTTCAGCCAACCAGGCTGGAGGTTCAGTGCTAGGTTCTGAGTATACAGTAAAAGAGGTCTCCAGGACTATATCTGCTAGTGCTCCAGGGACCATGTGGTGTCAGGCATCAAACCCACTGTAATGTCTCCTGGCCCAATTTCAACTTTTTTCATGGCAGAATAGTATTCCATTGAGTATACAGAACACAGCTTCTTTATTCAGTCATCATCTGTAGGGATTTGGGCTGCTTCTGTGTTTGGAATTGTATATAATGCTACTAGGAAAACAAGAGAACTCCTGTATTCTTTTACTATTTTAATCTTCTTCTAAAAATCCTTCTTACTATCTAAAATTTAAAATATTGACATACTGCCACATTTTCTTCAGAGTTTCTATAAAAAGAAATAAAACATTGTAGGCACAGGTTTAGTCCTATAATCAGTTAGGATTCAGTTATAGAAAAAAATGAATAACTCAGTGCAGGAGTGAATTTAATAAAGGCAATTGTATACTTAAAAAATTCAGGAAGTGGGGCCAGAGAGATAATACAATAGGCAGAGCATTTGCGTTCCTTGCATGTGTCCAACAGGGTTCAATTCTTGGCACTCCATAGGGTTCCCCAAGCCTTGCCAGGAGTGATTCCTGAGTTCAGAGCCAGGAGTAAGCCCTGAGCACTGCTAGGGGTAGCCCCCAAACAAAATAAAGCATAATTCTGGAGGTTGGAGGAGAGAATTCCAGGCTGGGATTCTAGGAATGATCCCAAAACAACACCACAGAACACAGAGCAGGACTCCATAGAGGCTGCCACCTGGCATAGTCAGAGAGGTGGATGATGGATGACCCAGCATGTCACTCTCCCTTCAGGCCCCTTCTCCCTGGTATAGTCTACTGAATCTAACATCTAATCTAGCATCTAAGCCCTGAAGCCACTGTCAAATCCACTGGCCAGAGCTGGGTGTCTCTAGCACTGAGGAGCTCTGATGGGACTCTGGGATGCTTCCCGAAGAACACTGCACCCTCTGATGACATTTAGCAACAGAAACCACAGAAGGGGCTGAAGCAGAGTCTGTGTTTCCTTCTGCCTTCCATATCTCACACAAATGCATGAGACTGTTCTCAGCAGATACTGAAGTCAAAAACAGCAATCGAGATGCCATATAACAGTGTGAATAAGTGAAAGTTATTTAGAGAGTCTTCAAAATCAGATTTTTCATCCATTTACATGTATATTTTTGGTCTGGAGGGAATGCACCCAGCTTGGGGGCTATTCTTGGCTCTGTATTTGTGGGACCATGGGTGCCAGGAATTGAACCCAGCCTTTGCATGTGCCCAGTCCCATCTGGATATCTCCAGCCTTTACATCCATATGTTAATAACCTAAGTATTTTATACCTACATCACCTTTTCTATCTTTTGTTTATTTATTTATTTATTTTTAAACAAGCACAGCAGGTAGGGCGTCTGCCTTGCACGCAGCCAACATGGCCGACCCGAGTTCGATTCCTCCGCCCCTCTCGGAGAGCCCGGCAAGCTACTGAGAGTATTCGATTCGATATGCCAGACACAGTAACAACAAAGTCTCCAATGGAGACGTTACTGGGCCCGCTCGAGCAAATCGATGATCAACGGGAGGGCCTTTACTTACTTACTTAAACAAGCCATTCTGTCTGGCTGGCTTTTATTTTTATTTATTTATTTGATTTTTGCTTTTTGGGTCACACCCAGTGATGCTCATGGGTTACTCCTGGCTCTGCACTCAGGGATTTCTCCTGGCGGTGCTGGGGATATAGGATGCCAGGGATTGAACCCAGGTCGGTCGCATGCAAGGCAAATGCCCTACCCTCTGTGCTATTGCTCCGGCCCCTTTTCTACCTTTTAATACATAATTAAATGTTCTTTATCATGAACTAAAAGTCCTGTTTTCTTATCTGAATGCCTGATGTCACCCATCAACTTGTTTGTGAGTAATCTTGTTTTGTGAGTAATAAACTTGTTTTGTGAGTAATCTTCTCTTCCATGTGCATAAGACTTGTCTACCAATTAGTTAGTCCAGGGGTCAAAAAAATGAAAGCCCACTTCCTTCTTTTAACTCCTAACACAGGCCCTTACAATGTCAGCTGACTAAACTGCATATTGATAGAAACTTCATGGAGCAACTCTCATTCCTCTGTCTAGAAAAGTAATAGAGGCAGAGGAGAGAAGTAGCTCCCTGGTGCTCTCCCAAAACTTTCTGCACTTCAAGGTTTACCTTTATAAGAAATGACAATTTAAGGTCAGAAGGAGAGTACAGGGATTAAGATGCTTGCCTTGCACGTGGCAGACCCTGGTTTAATCTCTGTCCCCTAAGTAGTGCCAGGAGTGATCCTGAGCACAGAGCTAGGAATAAGTCCTGAGAACCACCAAGTATGACACAAGTACCCCAACCCCTACAAAAATAAAGAAATGCCTGTTTACTTTAAATGTATTCTTTTGCAGGGATCCACCCCACAAGCCGCCACCTAACAGAGCCAGAGCTTCTGAGGAGTCCTTGGAGTGTCCCGGGGAGCTGAGAGCACAGGGACCCCAGGCTTTATCCCCAGCTGCTGTTCCTAGACCCCCTAGTAACCTTCCAGTCAGAGGAACCCTAAAAACCAGCAATTTGCCAGAAGAATTACGTAAGTTGTTTACAAAGTTGCTTTTACGGCTTTCTTGTCAGGCCTTACATTTTAAAAACGTTTGATGGCTCTTCATAAATTGAATATTTCTCCTGTACACAGAGAAATCTACTTTTTTTTCTTGACTTTTACAAGAAAATAAAATAAAAGAGAACCAACATTCATTTTAGAGATTCTGACATGACTGGTAATACTTACAAAGTGCTTACCCCAAGATTTTCTTCAACATACTCCTCAACAACAAATAAATCCAACACTTTCCCCTCTTCTCAATGATGCTGTTGCGTGGCCCTGTCCCCGGGTGAATTGATTGGCCACCCATGTGGTGCTGGCCAGGAGGCTAGTTCTCCCTTGAACTAGCATTAGCTTTGCTGTTGCGAACATGGTGATTTGATTTCCTGTTAGAGCTAGCTATCTTTTTATTGTTGATTTTTTGTTTTGACAACAGTTCAGGGATGCTTAGGACTTATTCCTGACCATGTTCAGTGTACCATATAAGATGCGAGGGATCAAACCCGGGTCAGCAGTGTGCAAGGCAAGATCCTTACTCACTGTACTATCTTTCTGGCCCCTGAGCAATCTTATTTGGGAAAAAGGAGCCCAGTATTCTCCATGCTTCTTTACAGCCTAGTGCCAACTCAGTCTTTGAATTTAAAAAAAAAAAAAAAAACATTTGTCAGGTGATGGATGATTCTTTTTCCAACATTTTGCAGCCAGAACCAGAAAATGTTGAAATATCACCAAGATGTTCTCTTATTAATGTCAGGACAGTATGCTCCAGAAATTTGAAGAAAACAACCCGGGCTTGTGAAATTATTAGATTACATTGAGATTGCTTGAGTAGCCTAGCTAATTATCATAATAGGCCCTTTCCAAATCCAGGCACTACTTTGAACTAAGCCTGAATGCCCTTCCGTTTGTTAATTTCTATTAGGTGACCTTTGAATTTTCACCATTTAGGACTCTGAAAGATCTTTTTTTTTCTTTCTGGGACACACTCAGCAATGCTTAGGGGTTACTCCTGGTTCTGCACTCAGGAATTACTCCTGGCGGTGCTTGGGGGACTATATGAGATGCTGGGGATTGAACCCGGGTCGGCCATGTGCAAGACAAATGCCTTATCTGCTGTACTATGTCTCCGGCCCCTCTGAAAGATTTTTTAAAAAATTTATTTTGTATTATGGGATTATGAAAGATTTCTATGACAACAATCCATTATTCATTCTAAAGAGTTTTATTTTCAGTCACTGTAAGTTACAGCTATTCATGGCAGGTTTCAGGCATACATTGTCTCAACACTGATCCCTTTACCTGTGCCCACTTCCTTCTACCAATGTCCCCCTTCGCTCCATTTGCTCCCACGCACCAGTATGCCTCAACAAAGAGAATTTTTTAAAATATATGTTTCCACACTGTGATTTACAGTCTAGGACTGGAGCGATAGCACAGCGGTAAGGCGTTTGCCTTGCACGCAGCCAACATGGCCAACCCGAGTTCGATTCCTCCACCCCTCTCGGAGAGCCCGGCAAGCTACCGAGAGTATCTCGCCCGCACGGCAGAGCCTGGCAAGCTCCCCGTGACATATTCGATATGCCAAACACAGTAACAACAAAGTCTCCAATGGAGATGTTACTGGGCCCGCTTGAGCAAATCGATGAACAATGGGAGGACAGTGACTTGATTTACAGTCTGTTGCTGATAAGGTTTCATACACAACATTTTACCACCTTTCAGTATGGCTTCCTCCTCCCAGCTGAATGCTCCCCCCCCACCACAGTTGTTGCCCCCCTCCCTGTCTGTCCCCAGCCTCCTCAGTGGGCATGATTCCAACTGAAGACTAGTTTTCAGGTTGTTTGTTTCCATTATCTTTGGGTGTTTGTTATTTCCCCATTATGTTTTCTTATACTCTGCACATAGAGATCATTCTGTGTCGGTCTCCCTCCCTCTAACTTCACTCAACACGATACTCTCCAGGTCCCTCCATGTAGCAGAGATTTGCAAGACTTTATCTTTTCTTATGGTCAAGTAAGATCCCATTGTGTGTATGTACCGTAATTTTTTATTCAATCATCCATTCTTGGGTACTTAGTTGTTTCCAGATTTGGGGTATTGTGGAGAATGCTGCAAAGAACAGAGGGGTGTAAATATCTTTTCTCCATTTTATTTTGGGATATTCTGAGAAGTGGGGCTGCTGAGTCAATTGGAAGTGGAATTCCTAGATTTTCTTTTTCTTTTTGGGCCACACCCGGCGATACATAGGGGTTATTCCTGGCTCTGCACTCAGGAATCACTCCTGGAGGTGCTCAGAGGACCATATGGGATGCTGGGAATTGAACCCGGGTTGGCAGCATGCAAAGCAAACACCCTACCTGTCGTGCTATCGCTCCAGCCCCCCTAGATTTTTTTAATGAATGTTCATATTGTTTTCCAGAAAGACTGGACCATTCGATATTCCCACCAACAATGAATGAGTCTAAAAAATGTTTAAGTCTTCTTAAATGTGTACACATTTTCATTCTGAGCATTTGGGGAGAATGAGGGTGGCCCTGCCAAGTTTACCAATCTGTTGTCCACTATAGAGCCTAATTCTCTTACTGTGATCTATAAAGGGAGTCCCCAATTCTTTTAGAGGAACTGGAGTATTAGGTATTGACAAGAAAATTAATCATGGGGCCAGAGAGATAGTCCAGTGGGCAAGCCCTGCACATAATTGATCCAGCTGAACATGGGACTCAATCTTTGACACCACATATGGTCCCAGAAGCACTGCTAAGAGTGACTCCTGAGCACAGAGCCAGGAGTAAGCCCTAAGAAGACATAAGTCTTCCTCCCCCACCCCACCCCTCAAAATAAAACCACATATACCCAAAAAGGATATTAGTCACTATTAAGTCCCATACATATTCAACAGCCTGGCTGCTTAAATGCATCCCTGTGACCACTGTGTTCAATTCCATTTGAAAAGGATCTTTTAGAGAACAGCCTAAGCAGAGGGAAATACAGACTCATATTTTCTCATTATTCCCCTTTCTTCTCTTCCCTCTAGGAGTACGCTGATTTCCAAGGGCTTCCTGGAATTTAGCCCATCCATTCCAAACTAAAAGCCAACACACAGATGGGGCCGGAGCAATAATACAGCGTTTTCCTTGTATATAGCCAACCTGGGTTCAATCCCTGGCATCTCATATGGTCCCCCAAGCCCACCAGGAGTGATCGCTGAGTACAGAGCTAGGAGTAAGCCCTGAGCATCACCTAGTATGGCTCAAGTCCCCACCCCCAAACAAAAGCCAACACACAGAGATGATTCTCATCTCTCACTTGAGCACACTAGCCTGATCATTTCCTCATCCTGGTAAGATAAAGCAGAAGGGGATGGTACCACCTGCTGCTCTATGTGGGCTTGGGAAAACATTCTAGGTAGTGGCCAGAGGCAGTCTGTTCTTCCAGCTGTTGAAAATCTTACTGACATCTCCCAGCTAGACTTCAGCCTATGCTGACTTCCCCATCTGCTGCCCATAGCCCCTCTCCTCCCCACACCAGTGAACTGATGTGGCAGGTCGTGGAATGGTGTGGGGAGTCACTTTCTACCTCCCCCATCACTTGCTCTTGAAAAACCAGAGTTCAAGGCTGCAGAGAGCATCATGAGATCAAAAGAGGAGCCTCCTGGGGAAGGCTCAGTTTATTGGTGTGCTATGAGAGTGTTCGCCGGGCACCGGGCCAAGTATCTCTAAGAAACTAGGCAGTGGCCTAATCTTTAAACTCTGCAGGTTCTGGGTGATGGATTTTTTTTTGCTCACACACCATGTGGTTTTTCAGAAGACCTCCTCAGCTTGTCTCAGCTTGCCAGCTCTCTCCCTTCTGCTTTTATTTCCATTCACCCCAAGCTATGGACACCCCCCAAGGACAGACCCCCGACTCCCCAGACCTGAGATCTAAGTCTCAAGAATAGCAATCTAAACTGCAGTGACAAAACCCTGAGACCACACCCTCCTCAAGGTTCCTTTTTATTCTAGAAGAACAAAAAATAATAATCCAACCAGTTACTAATAAATATGAAACATCTCTCTTAGGGAAAGTCTTTATCACTTACTCTATGGACACAGCCATGGAGGTGATGAAATTTGTGAACTTCTTATCGACAAATGGCTTCCAAACTGCGGTAAGTATTTTCTCCAAAGAGACGACTGAACAATTCAAGTGAGTACAATGAAAACAAAGACAGGAGAAAAAGTCTGAACTGTTGTTGGTGTTTCAAATGATATGATACGATTTCTAGAATCTGAACTAAATGCTGTTAAGTGCATTCTCTTCAAAAATTTTAAACCATCTAGTCTCCTGCATTTTTGCTGGGTGTTTTTCGAGTGACCCTGAGCCCCAACCTGTCCCCTAGTAGCCATAATGGTGGTCCTGTGAGCACGTATGCATCTGGTTTAAAGTGGAAGGTGGGCCTGACTCTGGCTGCACTTTGGACCTTTGTCCTTTTGCACTCAGCACACCTGCTTGGGTTGTGATTCTCGTGATGCCAGAAGCTGGCTGGTTTACAGGTCCCTGTGTCCTGCACTGGCTTGTGAGGGTGGAAAGAGGAGCCCTGCAGTCAGGTTCCCCGCTGTGCACTATTGCCACCCCACAGCTGGAGACAGCAGTGACACCTGGACAGGGAACCCAGGACAGGGTCCTGCTTATCTAGCACAGTTCTGATGTTTACATGAAAAGCACTATAAAAGTCACTTTAGATCCTAGCATAAGGTGGGCTGGAGCAACAGTACAGTCAACAGGGCAGCTGTTTTTCAATGGTTCAATCTCCAGCATCCCACATGGTCTCCTGAGCACCTCTAAGAGTGATCCCTGAGTGTAGAGCCTGGAGTAAGCTCTGAGCACCACTGTGGCCCCCTAAATAAAACAGAACAAAAAAAAAATCAAAACCACTCTTCTTGTTTGCTTTTGGGCCTTGCCCTATGATGCTTGAGAGATCAGATGATGCTGGGGGTTGAACCTGAGCCTCCCGCATGGAAATCCTGAGCTCATCCTTTATGCTCTCTCAGGCCCCATCCCCTACACACACACACACACACACACACACACACACACTCACTCACCAAATCACTACTTTCCCTCCTAGAGAACTCCTGCGAGTATTAGTGACCATAAATCTTAGCAACTAGTGAATGTTTTCACAGAAATGCCTATGAGTAGAAGGGCTGAAGGATAAAGAGGGGCTAGTGTTAAAATTTATATATATATAAAGTTAAGCATTAATTGAAATTAAAATTTTTTTTCTATAATTTAAACAAAAATAAGAGCATCTGCAAGTTTGAAAAAAACACATACAATAGATACAAGCCCTTTTGTGAGATGGAATCTAAGTGGGGCTGAGGCTTGTGTGGTACTTTTAGATACTAACACAGAGATTTTCTCTTAAAGTTTTCTCACTCAGGATCTTTTTTCAGTCACCAATTTTTATGTGACCCTGATTCTAACATATATAAAATAGGTATGCAAAACAGACGTTTTCTGATAATGTTATAAATTTATTTTAAGACAAAAAATGTTTAAGTTACACTTTGTAAATTATACTGCCGCCTCCCCCCAAAACACACACACACACACACACACACACATACACACACACACACACACGGGGGTCACAAGCCCTGCTTAAAAAGCTAGGCTCTAGGGGACATTAATGTAGAAGTAAAGCAGACAAGCTATGTGGGAGGGAGAGAAGACTGGACACGTGCAGCATGGAAAGTTTGCTGAAAGGCAAAGACTGGATTTGATCACCCTAAATGACAAAGTAACTTTTTAGATCATTGATTTGGAAGCAATGTTAGCTGAATCAAATGATTTCTGCTCAGGAATACTGTCCCAGAGTCACCATTCAACAGTATAATCCCCTTCCAACCACCAGCACACATGTGTGAGGACATACATACACACATACATACACTCGTATAAACCTATGCATGCATACATCTACACACATGTGTACATATGCATATGCACACAGCCCAAGAAAACCCTTCTTCTTTGGTCTCCTGTAGAAAATAATGGTTTTTCTGCCTTTCAAATACTCTTTCAAAGACTTGATATTTAATATCTGGTCCAAGAGTTCTTCCTGACTTTCACTGTAAACCACCATCTCAGTCATGATTGCTCCTTGGATTGGCTCCAAGTTTCATACACTCCTTTTAAAAGTGTGGATCGAAACTGGACCTAATACTGTAATAATGACCTGGCTAATGCAAAGGAAACACCGCAACTGTCTCTCAGTACTTACATACTATACATCCATTAAAATGATCCAGGATTATGTTTGCCTTTTCAATTACAGATACCTGTGTAGATCCATATGGCATGTAGGTTGCTGGCTTGTTTCCAACTTGGTGGTCTACTTTATCCCTCAGATTTTTTTCTGGTCTCTCAAATTTTTAAAACATGATTATTGTGTAGCTCCAAACTCATTTTGATGTGTACCACTCTACCCTAATTATGAATAAAAATACTTAAATGCATAGCGAGGTTGCAATAGGGAGCATTTTAGGAAAATTATATTTTATTTTCTTACACTTAGAAACTCCTCCCTGCAGAAAGCATTAGTAATTCTTCCCACTTTTAAGGCATTTTGTCTCCAGTACTTTCTGTTGCTTTGCATCAAGAGAAAGCATCTCATTAAGAGCCACCTCTCACATCTATTTCCTTGTAGATTGACATGTTTGAGGATAGGATTCGAGGCATTGATATCATTAAGTGGATGGAACGTTACCTCAGGGATGTAAGTACATTCCAAAATTCTGAGCTTTTCTGGTGAGAAAGACAATTAGCTTGTGAAGTTATTTTCTGAAAGAAACCCTGGCATGGTCAGCCAGTCCCAAGCTGAGAAAATCCCAACAAAGCCTCTCTTGTTGGCAGCTGTGCAAAGACTTGGAAAGGAAGGATGGGGTCGCGCTCCTGGACTTGCACAGGCAGGAAATAACAGGAAAACCAGACACAGGTGGTTGATAACAATCAGAACATTTTTTTTTTTTGACCAGAAGAGGAAAGGAGGATGAAATGAGATGGCAAGTGGGGAAGAAGTGGCAGGTTTTAATTCAGTCGAAGGTCACCCCAAGTGTGGAAGCCTCGAGCTGAAGAGGGGTCCCTAGGATAGCCTTCATAACCACGCTGCACACCACCCCCAGGGACCCCCTCGTCGCCCTTGACTTGTTTTCTGCTGACAGGATCTATACCTGCCACGGGGACCCTGTGCTTTAACAAGATAGAAATTGATTGCTGCCGCCGTGGCCGTGTCGGCTGCGCTTGTGCTTCTGGCCGAGGGAGCGGCGGGGGGACAGCGTCTCAGCAGGCTGGGATTGTGCAGCTTTGCCTTTTGTCTGCAGCCCGACGTTTGCTTTTGTGCTGAAGGGTCTGTTGCCCCTGACGGTGCTCAGGCGTGTGCAAGGCTCCTGGCTCAAGCAGCAGAGTAGCCGCGCTGACAGCTTGGAGCCTGAGGAGGGAGGAAGGCAGGGCTGCAGGGCAGGGCGGGAGGAGGCCTCAGCGCGGAGGCTGCAGAGCCTTTTAGCTGAGTGATGCTGGTTTCCCCCGCCCCACCCCCACCCCATGTTTATTAGTGGTGGTTGTAGGAATATAGGCAAAACCACATCCACTTCAGAGAGGTCCTGCAGGCGCCGTGTGTTCTGTTTGGAAGGGAGGATGGGAGCCGGCCAGGGGCTGCCTGTGTGGCAGAGCTGTGCCTTTCCCTTTCCAGGGCTCTGGGTGCAGGAGCAGAGAAGGCAGGATGGCCATCAGCTGGCCCCTTTCCAGCCAGCCTTTCCCAAACAAACTCACCACCACCCCCCGCACCCTCCCCTCAACGTGCTTTCTCCCTCTCCTTCCTTCACAGAAGACAGTGATGATAATCGTGGCAATCAGCCCCAAATACAAACAGGATGTGGAAGGCGCTGAGTCGCTGCTGGACGAGGACGAGCACGGCTTACATACTAAGTACATTCATCGCTTGGTGAGTGATGAGGGGACCGCGGCACCCCTTGGGCATGGGTTCTTTCTCCTGTGAAGCCCTAGCGTTCACTAGAAACTAGAAGACAGAGAAGGGACAGAGGGGGGCAGAGGGGTGCTGGTCTGGCTCTAGCTACCAGAGTTCTTGGGCAAATCACCACCATACCTCTGAGGCTCCATGTTCCTCTCAGCAAGCAGGGGTGACTCGTCTGTGATCTCTGAGACACAGACTCTTGGCAACAGTGCTTGACTGCCTTGGAGGGTTACTCAGCAACAGAAGTGCAGTCCTCGGGGTAGCTGAGGCAGGGCCCAAGGATCATGCTTTCCTGCCTCAGTGTCATGGTCTGAAGTCTGTCTTTGAAGAGAGGCGGGGCAGCATAGTGGACAGGACATAGGCTACTGTGTCCCACGGTCCTGAGTCAAAGCCAGTTTCTTCGTATGGATGGATGGCATGAACAAACTGCTTAGACCTCTTTGTGACTTTGCCCATGTTCCTCCAATGGTTGGCTGATATTTAGAGCATTGTGGGGAGAATTCAATGAAATCACGTCTGTAAAGCATCTGGCACATATCAAATGTTCAATCCAAGGAGGAGATTGTTCTCAGCTCATGATGGATGAGCGCTGCCACGCCCAGACCCACAAAGCCTGACCTGACTCAAACCAGGGAGCGGGTTTGTAGAAAATCAGGCACATTCTGACTGACAGTATTATTGGACTTTGGAACTGGCTATTTCTGTGCAATCTCCCTACTTTCCATGATTGTCAAGATTCTGTGGTGACAGCTCTTGTTTGGTGAGGATGCGGAGCTAGGCCTTTGACTTTCAGATTTCCCTGCAGAATCCCAAATTGGTACCCAGGTAGGCTATGGGTGGGGGTTTCTCTGAGCCTCCCTCCCCAGATCAGCAAATGCCTCTAGGGCTTGTTTGACTGGTAAGGAGTCTGAGATTCAAATAGGTTTGAAAATCACTAGCTCAGAACATGTAAGCCCTGCTTTATTCCACACTCAGGGAAGATACCTAGAAGGGCCATAAAGGATTGCTGAGTGAGACAGGAGGGTGGGGCAAGAAGCAGAAGGGGCCAGACAGAATAACCAGACAGCACAAGGCAGGCGGCAGGCAAGGGACATGCAACGTTGCCTCAGAGGAGGTCAGCCTAGTTCTGTCCCTCAGGTTAAGAGTATAGAAAGAAGACAGAGAGAGTGGAAGGGTAGGTCTTCTCCTTAATGGTCTCTGAATTTTCTTCTTCCAAGCACCATCACTTATTTGAGTCCAGAACCAACCAGAAATAAAGGCCAAAGCCAGGCAGTAAGATTGAGGAATAAAGCGATCAGTCAATGTCTCTTTCCTGTTGTTCCAATCTCACCTGGTCTGACAGGCCATAAGTGGGCCCCAGGAAAGGTGCTATTGGGGCCAGAGAGATAATACAGAAGTTTAGACACTTACCTTGCACATGGATAATTCATGTTTGATCCCCGTTACTGCAGAGGGTACCCTGAGCATCACCAAGAGTGACCCCTGAGCATAGAGTAGAGGAGAGGGGAGTTGAGAGGAAGAGAGAAGTGAGGGGAGGGAGAGGTGGGAAGAAGATCAAGGCCCCCTTGGGGTGTCGTCCTCCTTGGCTTTCATCATATGCATGGTCCTACAACACAGTGTGTCCTTTCTGCGTATCCAGGGAGGGGCCAGTCCCAGGAGCTGACAGCTGGAGTGTGGGAATGACTCCAGATCCCTGTCAGTTCCTGGGAAAGCCTATGGGAACTCTGCTGGGGTATATCTGCAAGTCCTCCCTAAGCACCCAGCTTGAACTAGGTGGTCTCTCCAAAACCAGTGTTTTTGCAACAACATGTCTGAGGTTCTTCGTCAGACCTGAAGGAGTTGAAGAGGACAGATAAAAAAGAATCTTCCAGCCCATTTGGCTGACTTCCTAGTCCCCTCCAAGCAGCAGAAAATTCTAGGCCAGAGCAAGTGAAGAGGTACTTAGGAGTAACTGCATCGTAGAAACAACAACTTCCCAGAAAGCCAGTAGCTGAAAACATGTGAGAAAAACTGGAAATTAATGACTGTTGGTTAGTTAGCAGCTGCTTAGTCTAGTAGATGAACAAAATGTTATTGTAGGTGGTATCCTATAAATCAGAATCAAAATTCAGTTCTCTATTGACTTATAAATCCTATGACCTTTCTTACTTGGATTAACTGGGTTGATTCATACTTTCAGCTGTGTGGTCCTTGAGCTATTTAAATATATGCTTTTGCTATTGTCTTCTTATTTGTTTTTGTTTGGGGGAGCCACACCCATTGAAGCTCAGGACCTATACTCCTGGTTCTGCACTCAGGGATTACTCCTGGTGCCTGGGGGCACAGATAGTGTACCAGGGATCAAACCTGGTCAGCTGCTGTACTTAACTGCTGTGCAAGCAAGCGCCTTACTTGCTGTACTATCTTGCTGGCCTTCTCTTCTGATTTTTACAGAAAGATAATTTTGAGAAAGCATCTTTTATTAATTTTTTTTAATATAATCACCGTGAGATAGAGCATTACAAAATTGTTCATGATTGCATTTCAGTCAAACACCCATCCCTTCACCAGTGTAATTTCCCAGCACCAGGGCCCCCAGTTTCTCTCCCACCCCTTCAAGCCATCCCCCACCCCAGCCTGCTTCTATGACAGGCACCTCTCTTCTCTTTTTCTCTTTCTCTCTCATTTTAAGCATTATGGTTTGCGATACAGATGCTGAAAGGTTATCGTGTACATCTCATTACCTGTGGAAAGCATATTTTTTTTAAAAAAATTATTTAATCACCATGGATTACAAAGTTATTCGTGATTTTTTTTTGGGTCACACCCAGTGATCCTCAAGGGTTACTCCTGGCTCTGCACTCAGGAATTACTCCTGGTCGTGCTTGGGGGGCCATATGGGATGCTGGGGATTGAACCTGGTCGGCCTCTTGCAAGGCAAACACTCTAGGCGCTGTACTATCACTCTGGCCCTCATGATTGGGTTTGAGAGATATGATGTTCCAATACCAGTCTGTTCATCAGGGTCCACTTCCCCCAATCAATGCCCCCCATTTCCCTCCCACCCACTATCCTGCTTTTAGGAGTTTTTTTTTTTTTGATAACTTTCCATACTGTGATTTCCAGTGCTGCTGCTGATATGGTTTCAGCACCATCTCCTCCTCCTGGCTGAAAGCTTCCCTCCACATTGCATCACTATTCTCTTCTCTGCCCTGTTCCTCGTCCCCCGCCCCACACAAGCTTCCTACTGAATCCAGTTTTGAGAAAACATCGTGTGGAGAGTCTGTGTGCGCTGTGATATAGGTGCATGGGAGTTTGTGTGTGAGACTGTGAGTGCGTAAACTCAATGGGCTGAGCCATGCACTGCATGCAGGAGCCCTGGGCACTCTCTCTAGCCCCGTACTGTCCCCTGAGCATCACCAAGAGTGATACCTGAGCACACAGGGCAGACTAGGCCCTGAGTATTGCCATGTGTGGCCCCAAACAACAACAAAAAATGTATCTAAGGACCAATTTGATCCCTGACACACCCTCCCAAGCATCACCAGCTATGGTGTTGGTGCAGTACAGGCCCGGGCAGCAGTATCCTCAGATCTGAGCAGGCCCAGAGCCATCAGCCAGTTACCGAGAACTGCTGGGAGTCCTCTTTGGGGAGACTCCCCACTACACAAACACACTCCAAAAATCAGAATGTGTGTCTCTGAAGTGGCAATGTCAGTAACCAAACTCCATTCTTCTCTTCTTCTTTGTTCTGTTTTCCATTTGCAAACATGGCAAAGACTTCTCAGTTTATAAAAGTCAATTGAAAGGTAAAAATAGTTGGGGTGCATAATTACTCATCTTCTTGTCATCTTTGTGCTGGTCTTAGGATTTGGAAAACTTGAACTTCCCTCATATTGAAAAGTCTGTATTTGAGTTTATTTTGTTTGCTTGACTGGCAATTTAGGGGGGGCAGGGTGTCTCCCACCGAGTGCCCAGGAGGCCTGCAGCCCCCATTGATTCTCAGACAGCCAGAGCAGCTCCTACTGTTAGGATGCAATACTGCTCAGGTCCTGTGGTGCTTCTAATTACCAAGGCCACCCCTGCAGAGTTCAGGGAGCTGCAAGTAGTGGTACTTGCAGGGGGTGGGTGGGGTCTATGTGATACTGGGGAGCACACCAGGGTCAGCAGCATGCGAAGCATTTACTTACTTAACCCCTGTACTATCTTTCTGGCCCCTTAATAGCCCCTTGGTAGCTAAATTGTTTGGAACAGCTATAATGTCAACACAAACTGAACCTACAACTTAGTCCAAGTGTGGGGAACCTAAAACTTGAACAATATTCCCGATCGATCTTCCTCTCCCTTACTTACCCCACCATTCTGTGCTGTGACCCCAACAGCACCCGAGGGATCCCCACCACACTGACATCCTTCTTCCTGAGGTTCACTCCTGCTCCTGCTGCTGAACCTGACCTTCCCTGCCCCTCCCTTTCTCCCTGCCCGCCCCTTTCTTTTCTTTTCATATCCAAATGCATTGGCGGCACTGATGTTTTGAGCCTCCTCCTGGCAGTCTGTCCACACTCCCGCACCCTCTGTGTTAGCTTCGCTTTCTGCCTGTGCACAGAACCTCCAGCTTTATAAGGGGAGGGATTGTCTCTGTGCTGTTCTGCTAGACTGGGTCCCCCCCCAAACTCCTAATTTGTAGCATTCGCTCATTTCCATGGTATAAATATCCTCCCCGTGGCCAATTTCAAGCTACCGACGTGCAGGCACTGAACTCAGAATTGGGAAGAGATGCACACAACTGACTTTTGTGAGCTGATGGGAGCCAGCTCAGCGTACCTTGGAAGGAATCCAAATCCTTGAAACCCTAAGTCTGCACAGAGCGGGGCTTTAATAGGCCTTCAATAAATGATTGATGAATGAGTGAGTGGCAGAGATGCATAACGGGGAGAGCTTAAAACTGTAAGTGTGTAGCACTCAAAGAAAGAAATCAGAACAAAAATACTGTGTAGGCTTGCATGGTTGTGGATATGCCATTAACTCCTTCTCACGCCTGAAATTAAACCTGCAGGTTTGTTCTATTACAGATGCAGATTGAGTTCATCAAACAAGGAAGCATGAATTTCAGATTCATTCCTGTGCTCTTCCCAAACGCTAAGAAGGTAAACACACAAATCCCTCTCTAAGGCCTGTTTTGGTGTCATTGCGCTGGGATTTTAACTGGAAGCCCTTATCTACTCATTATCAGTCCTTGGAGATCACTGTGCTACTAGCAAGATCAACACATTGTCCCCAGCATCAGCAGCATGCACCAAGAAGGTTGCAAAGTGTTATCTGATAAACCTCTGTCCAAGTTGTCCATTACACACAAAGAAGTACTTTTTATTTTAACTCATGAGCTGAAAAGAGACCAGAAACTGTTCATTTGATACTTTTTCCCTTTTTTTTCTTTTTTTGGTCACACCAGTGATGCTTAGGGGTTATTCCTGGTGGTGCTCGGGGGAGCATATGGGATGCTGGGTCGAACCCGGGCCAGCTGTATGCAAGGCAGACACACAACCCACTATACTATTGTTCTGACCCCCATCTTATACTTCTTATCTCTACACCATATGAGTCAAGATGTGTACATTTTTGCCTGTATATTTTTGACATATTCTGTTGTACAGAGTTCAGCTCTCAGAGCTGGAGAACATCAGAATGCAATCGACAGTAATTAAAGCGAAGTCTGCAACAAGCTGTTCCTAAGGAAGGGGGTTTGCCCCAGAAGTGCAAGCCAGCAGGTTTGGGGTTTGGAAATGAGGGGCATCTGAGGCCAGATGCCAGGCTTGATGAAGGGAAAACAGTAGGTGGTAAACATTTGAAGTAGGGCCACAGTATCCTGAGCTCTGACCCAGCATCACCCTGGAGGATCCCTGGTGGTCAGAACTGCATCTTGGTCTCTGTCGCAGTGGGGCAAGCATCCCATGGAGGTGAATGAGCCACCCAGTGGTGCTTCCCTCTCAGGCTGCAGATAGTCAGCTTTTCCATGCTCTACCCACTAAGAGGTCTCCTTACTGCTCTCCCTGCTCCACATGGACCCTATACTAGCCCACCCCTACTGCCATCAAAGATATAGAGCTCTGACCTGTCTCCCCAGCTGAAGGCTTTTCTGGCAGTTTTCCCACCATGCCCATGAGATCATATCCACCTTTTTTCTCATGACATGGTGCCCACTTGCTCCACCTTCTGTCTTAACCTCTACTGGGGACTCCAGGTCTTGGGCAGCATCCTTTTTGCTGCAGTGCATTCGTGCTCTCTGTACCTTCTGCTTACCATATACTTCCCTCACTTGTCTGGCTACTGAACTCTTGCTTTTTCCTCCTTATGTGATAGCACAGCGGCAGGGCATTTTCCTTGCACGTGGCAGCGCTGGCGAGCCAGATTCGATTCCTCCGCCCCTCTCGGAGAGCCCGGCAAGCTACCGAGAGTATCTCGCCTGCGTGGCAAAGCCTGGCAAGCTACCTGTGACATATTGAATATGCCAAACACAGTAACAACAAGTCTCACAATGGAGACGTAACTGGGCCTGCTTGAGCAAATGGATTAACAACGGGAGGACAGTGCTACAGACAGTGCAATGCTACCTACTCCTTCTAGCCACTCCCCACCTTACTTCTTTTGTTTCAAAATATTTCATAGTGTTTCTCTTGAGAGCTCTTAATTAGAGTACCTTGAGTCAGAGGAAAAATTGTTTAGAATTACTAGAGCAGGGGTGGTAGAAAAAGCAGACCAATGTTTAGTTGGTTTCATGAATGTTTTTAAATGTCTTCAAATTCCCTTGTTGCTGGCGATCAGGTCAGACAGCTCACACTATTGCTGGAAAATGCTTTTTTTTTTTTATATTTGGTCTCCAGCATAAGGCGGTGAATTCTTCAAGGCAGTAACTGGTGTCTCCTCAGTACCCAGTGTGAAGCTTGACATGAAGCATAGGTCATTTCTACACTCCAACTCCTCTAAGGAGCACATCCCAGGCTCTCCTTACACAGCCCTGCACACCTGCTCTCTTCTCTCACTCTTCTCTAGCCCCACTGAACTTGCTCATCCTTGTACAGGCCAGACGGCTCCCACCAGGCCTTTGCACTGGCTCTTCTCACTGGCAGGACCCAGACCTTCACAACACTCCCTCCCTCTGTTCTGTAAGGTCTTGCTTCATTTTCTCAGGAAGACCTTTGCTAAGTACCTTATTAAAAACCGTAAACACGTGTGAGGAAAAGATAACGAGGTGGGAGAAATGAGGAGCAGGGGTCACTTGCATAGAGCGATGGTACTAGAACTCTTGGAACAGGGGCAGCTGTGAGGCATGGTGAGATATATACAAAGAGACATGAAACTGCTCCAGAAGTTTTGCAGTATTATTATAAACCAAAGATAAAGCAATCAAATTTGATTTAAAAATGTTTAATCCTGCCAACTTTTCATCTCTGCCCCAGCACTCCCTCTCACGATCCTGTTTTATTTTTCTTCCTATTATGCACCATGAAACACACATTTGGCATATTCAGTATCTGCCCTTTCCCCAACAGAATGTCCACTCCATGGGGTTACTGAAGCTGTAGCCGCCTGCCTTTCCGGGCACCCGGGTTCTGCCTTCTCCCGATCAATCTTTCCTGCCGCCAGCCAGACCTGTGGATGGAATGAGAGGATAATGAATTAGATTAAGCCCAGAGACTTGGCATCCCTCTTCCAAAGCCACAAGGGAATTTACATCACGCTGCCTGACCCCGGTCGTCCCCCTTTCATGTGAGGGTGCTGAAAAGCATGTTGAAATGCAAAGGGCAGGTAGCCTGGGAGACTGATGGAGAATGCTGTGCACATGTGGTTCCCATAATGAGCTCTACAGCTTGCACCCAAAGCCAAGAGCCCTGCACAGGCTCTCCCCTTCACTTTTTTTTCCCCATATGCAAAAACAACCCAGTTCCCTGGGTTGCTCAGCAGGGAAGGCCTGTGAAGGGAAAAGCCAGAGAAGTTTGGGAGCCAAGCCTGGGATCTGGACTCCAGGTGCTTCTCTAACGGCCTTTGCCCCTGTCACTCTCCCTCCCACAGGAGCACGTGCCCACCTGGCTGCAAAACACTCACGTCTACAGCTGGCCCAAGAACAAGAAAAACATCCTGCTGCGGCTGCTCCGAGAGGAGGAGTACGTGGCACCTCCCCGGGGCCCTCTGCCCACCCTCCAGGTGGTTCCCTTGTGACCTAGTAGCCCAGGCCCACTGGGGGCCACCATGCCACCGTGGGGCCTATTCTTACATCTTCTCTTGGAGGCTAGCTGGCAGCATTTGCTGCTGCTGCTGTGTCTCCCCTAGTGGCCTCCGACCCCAGAAAACTGCTCTGCAGAGGACACTTCCTCCTGCACCCAGACACAGCCTGGCGAGAAACAGGAGGACTTGGCCATTCTGCTTTCCCTCCTGAAAATCCACGGCATGTCTTTCTGCTCTGATGCATTAGTCCTGTGCCCTTTGGTGCTTACGCAAATAGATGAGTGACGGTAAACAACCACAAACACTTTCCCCTCATTTCCTATATGAGTTAACCAAATGTTTCTGTGTCCCCAAACGGATTCATGTACAAATAATAAAATGCTGTTTTGTAAGCCTTTGTTTCACTTATCTCAAGTGAGATAGATATTAATTTATAATATGGGCAGTTGCTTTCAGGGACAGCAATAAAACCTCTTAGATAAATGAAATAAACTTGCTATGCGGTTTTCAAGGATTAAACGCAGATAAACAATCCCTTTTAGCATCGACTTGAAAGTTTTATTCTTGCGATAGAACTTTCTCACAAGACAACTTTGTACAGGTAACAAACATCTCAACAGAATCTACGTGGAGTCATCCAAGATAGGTGAAATCTGAGTGTGGTGTGAAGGGACTGTATGATTTGACTTGTGGTTTTGGAGATCTGTGTTAGGGTCTTGGTTCTACCAAAAACTGGTTGTTTGATCTTAAGTTATTCTGCTTTTCTAAAACTCCAGAGATTTATTTATAAAATGGCAGTATAACATCTCCATTGGCCTAGACTAAATTCTAAATATTCTTTTGAGGAATGACTAATTTTCATTATTTTATTTCCCTGGGGATAAAAGTGCCATTTTCTTAACAAAGACATTTTTTCTTTTTTTAAAAGGAGCTTCAACAATATCTTCACATTAATCATTTTAGAAATACATTAACATCTTGCTTGTATGACATCTAAAATACACACATGTGAAATATATATAAAATTTAGATAAGCTGTTGAGAAAGGTGGAATATTATGGCCCAATTTTGTAAACCTATGTAAAGACTTTCGGAGATAAGAGGAATGTCTCCCCCCCCATCTACTTAACCTCTTAAACAAGGTTAGATTGTCCTATGAGACAGTTCAGTCCTAATATATTATAGCATGGAAGGCAAATAGTTAATCAGCTGAAAAGACACTTTGCTAATGAAACACAAAGAATATTAAAAATTTACCTTATAAACTACACATCTGTTTATAAAGTCTTTGTTTTTAAAAAATGGGGTGGTGTAAGCTAGTATAGCTTATGAATCATTTGTAGTACTCTGTAACAAGTATGTATTAATTCTTAGCATTTGGGATCTGGTAGAACTTTTTAATTATCTTGAAATGCCTAAAAAGTATGCCAATACTAACTTAGAGTATTTTCCTTTTATTATCTTTTTTGAAGATTACACCACCAGTACAGATTTACATACAATTTTAAATAAGAAAGACATCAGTATGACCCTAAACTATTTCTAATATCCTAGGGTCTGATAACAGGATGCTATTACCTGGGTCTCTCTGCAGAGAGGAGCCCTGAGTTCCCAGGCACTATTCCTCCAACAGGTAGAAGGGAAGGTCCCTGGGGGTTTCACACTAAGTCACTGGAGTGTTATAGGTGGTAGCACTGGTAGCACGGGTAGCAAACAAACAAAACAAAAAACAGACACATGCAAAATACCTGGCCAAGTGATGAAAGTTTGACCCCTGAAGTCCTGTGAAATCTGATGACCATGAATATCACAGGAATTTTAACAGCTATTTGAAGGCCCTGACAGTGAGATTAACATGTGGTTTATTTAGAAGTTATCCTGGTCCTGGTACATTCATTTGCAGTTATTTAGGGGATGGAAGGAGGGTGGGGTGACTCAGTAAAAATAACCTCCAGCCTCACAGCTTTCTTCAGACCTAAATTGGTTTGGTAGGAGTGAAGTAAGCAGAATGTGAGGTTAGAGTTTCATATAGTCTTTAATGAATAATCAAAAAAATTAAATGTCATTTTTAATTTCAGCAACTAGTTTCAAATGATCTACCTGCTTGATTTGAGTTTTATATTATTCAAAGTTATCTCAATTTGTGGCTACAAACAAGGATTAGACTTGCTCTTTCTCAGCTGAGTGCTCAGAAATAGTAGTCTTATTGATCCCCCTTTGCTTCTTCCCTACTATAGTTAATGAATTTCCCTATAAATTACCTAACGGCTGGGTTTTGCAGAGTCATCTCAATGAGGGAAGCAAACTATTCCTTTGAACATTTCAGACCTTGTTTCAGGATGCTTTCTATGCCAAGAACGTTTCTCTTGTCTATCTTTTTTTATTTTTTGGTAGTGGGGGATTGTATTGGGCAAGTGTTTAGGGGAACCATATGTGGTGATAGGGGTTAAAACCAAGGTAAGCTTTATGCAAGGTATGTTCCATAACCCCCGTACTATCTCTCCAGCCCCAAGAGCATTGGTCTCACCCTTGACCACATCACCAACCACTTCATCCACTTTGCCAAATCCCCCAGTGTCACTAGCATCTCAGCAAAATGGATTGCAGAGTACTATAAATATTGTGAAATGATCCAGAAAGTTGCTCAAAACACAGGATCTTTCTGTTTCTTAATGAACCAAGAAGAACCAGTGAGACCTCCTTTCTAGTGGCAAATGAAAAGAGGAGGAAGGTTAAACTGTGGGAAATACCACATAAAAATAAATAAAGTGTGTGGGGGGAGGGGAAGAAATGCCTCTCATCCCGAAGAACAACTCAGAATAAATAGCTCTCTATAAGCCCACAATTAAATAAATGACTACCACAACCATGAAAATCAGGAAAAGAGAGTGGGAAAGAGGAAGGAAGCAAGACAGAAAAAATCAATTCTCAGATCATTTATTTATGTTGTGAAATCTTTAGTCTGGAGAGGACCTTAGAAATCATGTACTGCTAAAAAAAAAAAAGCGGTACGCAGAAAACCTGTGGGGCTCTTTCTTCTAAGTTCACTCTTGGGCCTGAACCCTTTATTCTGGTCTCCAGTCTGCAGACTGGATCCTAGACAGCTTTCTAGGTGAACTGAACAAATGACCCAGCCTCTCCCTGTGGTAAACCGAGTCTCCGGAACCTAGGAGGCCTTCGGGAAGCTAACCCTCTGTCCTCTGGTGACTGGATCATGTTGCAACTTTTTTCTGTGGGGGATTCTTTGGGGAATTAATTATTACTGTAATTATTGGGAGTGCTACTTTTCTTCAAGTAGTTGGGCATATTTATCTTCTACAGCTATTATACAAAACTTAGGTGCAATTTAAAAGATCTTGGTGTTTTCCTGAAGTTTACAGACAAAACTTGCTCTCAGTCAGATCAATTTTCTTTCACTTTTGTCTGGTAAAACCTCCAAAACAACAATGAAACAGGTTTGTTTGTTTTTTTTAATACTGTGCTATTCAGTGTCCCCTCACTCTTAACTCTACAAGAATGGCACGTGTTTGCACAAGAATAGTAGAGATAAGTACCAGGAGGTTTACTCCATGGCTTGGAGGTCAGCCTCACAGGCTAGGGGAAAAGGCAGCTCAGATAGAGAAGGGAACACCAAGTAAAGGGTGTTGGGAGGGCCCGCTTGGGATGGGAGATGTGTGCTGAAAGTAGACTATAGACCGAACATGATGGCCACTTAATACCTGCATTGCAGACCACAACACCCTAAAGGGGAGAGAGAGTAAAAGGGAATGCCCTGCCACAGAGGCGGGAGGGGGGGGGAAGGGGGAGGGGAGGAGCGAGGCATTGGTGGGGGGATGGGAAGGATACTGGGAACTTTGGTGGTAGAGAATGAGCACTGGTGGAGGGATGGGTACTTGACCATTGTATGACTGAAATATAAGCACAAAAGTTTATAAGTCTGTACATCACGGTGATTCATTTAAAAATAAAATAATAATTTAAAAACCTATAATAAATGAAAACACTTGATCACTTGATATCCCGTTACTCATTGATTTGCTCGAGCTGGCACCAGTAATGTCTCCATTTGTCCCTGTCGCGTGCTAGTGTAGCCCAGTGGCATCTCCGCGTTCTAGGAACACAAAGAGCCTCAAACTGATCATTCAGGGTCTTGACGAAGAAGTCTGACCATATTGTAGGTGGGCGGCCACGCAATCTTTTGACGTCTCATGGAAACCCGTCGGTAACGGCTCTATTCCAGCAGTTGTCTCCAAATCTCATTACAAGTTCAGCACATCTGATTTTCGACGCCTTCGCAAACGAGACAGCGTCCCTGATTCTTGACCATCGACAGAGGTCAGAACTCCGGATTCTTTCTCTCATTTGAGTGAAGCGGGTTACTCCAAGCATAGCTCTCTCGATTGCTCTCTGGGAGACCTGAATAGCGTTCTCTTCCCATTTTCGTAGGGCCTAGGTCTCTGAGGCACATGTTAATGCAGGAAGAACAGTGGAATCGAAGAGATGTGCCTGGAGCTGGAGGTTCTTTGGCCTCTTAGCTATTTCTTTGACGCTATTGAAGGTGTTCCAAGCCACTCTCTTCCTCCTGCGCAACTCAGGTGCCAGGTCATTTATCATGTTATTTTTCATTTTTCATTCATTCATTTATCTTATAAATGAGAACAAGGAAAACAAAAAAAAGGCACGTTTTTGACTCGTCAGTATTGTCAGATTTGGGGTGATAGTACAGTGAGTAGGGCACTTGCCTTGTACGTGGCAGATTCGAATTTGATCCTTGGCATCCCATATGGTTACCTGAGTCCTCCAGGAGTAAATTACTGAGTACAGAGCCAGGAATAACAGCTGAATAAAACCAGGTGTGGCCCCAAAACAACAGCAACAACAAAAGAATCCTCACATTCCCAGGGGCTGGAGCAATAGCACAACGGGTAGGGCGTTTGCCTTGCATGCAGCCGACCTGGGTTCGATTCCCAGCATCCCATATGGTCCCCCGAGCACCGCCAGGAGTAATTCCTGAGTGCAGAGCCAGGAGTCAGCCCTGAGCATTGCCCAGTGAGAAACAAATGGGATCAATGAAAAACAAATGGGATCAGGGAATCCTCCCTGGGGTGAGAGGGGCCACAGGGAAAGCACAAAAGACAACCCTTCACCAAGGAGGAGCCCAGCGCCTATAGTTGCATTCTGTTTTGGGACATTTGGGGCCCAAGCGGGATGGCAGTTCCCTAATATGTTCCATCTCCTATCAGAGAAGCTTGCAGAGAGGAAACCAGGTACTTGGTGAGGAGGTGGGCGGTGTTTGCAGACCTGGTTGGTGGGTGAGCCCCCTTCTTATGGCTAAACACTTACTCCCAAATCCTTAGCTTCAAGTCAAGCAGAAAAGAGTTGAGAGAGGAAGATGGGGTTCAGTTCTCTTTAACTTTTTTGCTTTTTTTTTTTTTTTAAAGTGGCAAGGAGGGTGGTGGGGAAGGTTGAACCATACTTAGCAGTGCTCAGGGGCTACTCCTGGTTCTGAGCTCAGGGGTCACTCCCAGGTAGTGCTCAGTGAACCATATACAGTCTAGGTCACACCTACCCAGGGCTTACACATGTGATATCTGGGGTCTTCTCTCAACCATGCAAACCAGGGACTCCGATGTATCTCAGCCAACTGACCACGTTCTAGGCCTGCCTGCTCTTTTCCAGAAATGCTTGCAGGGAAGGAGTCACTGCTGCTGCAGATCTCCCGGACATGTGAGTGCCCCTCTCAAGGCACGGGTTTCTTGTCCCTTGCCTGACCTCCCTTTGCTCCCTTCTCCAATTGGGCGCGGACACAGGCAGCAGCTGGGGAGAGCGGGCGGGGAGGGCGCGCGCGAGGACTCCTGCCTGATGGATCCCATTAGGCTTAGTGTGCAAAGCAAGTGGAGATGAAGTAGCTGCTCTGGTATTCGGCCAAAACTGCGGTGCTATTTTTAGCCTCTCCCTCGTGCTTCTCTGCCTGCACTGTAGGCCAGGGCCACCTGGATCAGCAGCAAAACACGGAACTGAGGCACTCGGTTGTGAAACTAGACCGAAGGAGGCCACAGATGCGGGGCTCATTGGCCGATGAAAAGGAAGGAGCCGTGGAATGTTAATGAGCGGGCTTGGTGTTCGAAGAGTTCAAAGGAGAAGGCGGACTCGGGCCTGTGCCCAGCACACGCGAACCGCTGATAGAGGGAAGGAGAAATCAATTACGCTGTCGCTGGCTTCTATGCCATTGTGTTGGAGTGGTTAGAAAAGGTAGGACAAGGACCAGAGCTCAAAAGGAAGCACAGCCACATGGCCTTGAAGTCTAACGAGTTTGCCATGGCAACTGCTGGAAATGAGCCTCCCGGCACTGAGCAGGTGTGTTATCTTCCAGAATAAACAGACTTCTCACACTCCCTGGTTTTTATCATAAAACCTGTGTTTGGATTACTTTCCCTCCTCTTTGTTACCGGGAGAAGTTGGCTGTTATACAATGAGCCCAGGGCTGCGGTTGAGGGAAATGTAATCAGTGTTATCAAAAGGGCTACTTTGGCGAAGCCTGGCTCCAGGCCTGGTCCCTGCAACCCCCCCCCCCCCCCCCCCCCACTTCCCCAGTTGGGCACAGGTCCCCCCCTGCCTGACCTTTGACATCTTCCAGGCGAGTCGCGTGTATTTTCTGGAAGAGGACTGCTCGCCCAAGGCGGGTGGTCAGAAGGCCTGTTCTCCCAGGGGGAGGAGAGGCTTAGGTGAGGCTGGGGCCCGGCTGCCAGCACCCTGTGCCGTCTGGGCTGCAGGCCAAGGGCTTTTTGAGTTCAGGGATTAACTGATTCCATCTTCCAATCTGTTGTTATCTCCAAAGTTCAGTTACTCAGAAACTTGCAGAGAGCTGCAATTTCCCTGAGCTTTTAAATTCCTCTCAAATGGGTTCTGGGATGATGGATTCTCATGTCCCCATAGACACGAATTGTGGAGGTTTTTATAAAATCTTCCCAAATCGGAAAGAAAGGTTGGCTGGTCTGCTGTGACAGTCAAAAATAATGATCAAGTTGGTTTGTCTTAGTTTTTATGGTTCTTTGTAACGGAAAGAAAACTTCTTTCACCCTAACTTCAGTTTGTTTTACTTGTTTGTTTTATTTGGGGGCGCTACTTCTAGTGCAGTGCTTGGAGGCTACTACTGATTCCTGGAAGTGCCCAGGGCATCAGGGAGTGCCAGGGATTGAAACCAGGGCTGCGGTCTAGCCCTTTGAGCTATCTCCCCAGTTTCCTCAATCTGACTTTCAAAACAAGACACTTTTCCACAACAGGTTCCTAGAATGCACCCACATTCGGGGGTTAGATTTTGGAGTCACATCCAGCTTTGCTCAGGGAACCATATGCAGCAGCAGCAGGGATAGAACTAGAGTCAGTCATGCACACGGCATGCACCTAACCCTCTGAACTCTCTCTCCAGCCCCCACACATGATTTAAAGTGCGGTGGCGGCAAGGTCAGCTGAGAGGCAGAGACCTTTTATGGGCAGAGCCAGGCAGCTTTGTGCTGAGTGGTTCCTGTTCACCAGGGCCTCTGTTGCTCTGCTCTGCTGAGATGTCCAGAACCTACTCCTCGGCTTCTCTCTTCAGGTCATATCCTCCCAGCCCCTCACACATCACCTTATGTTTGACTCTAATAAGAATCTGAGGGCTAAGGCCCAGTGGATGGCTCAGTGGCTAAAATCACCTGCCATGTAAGCATGAATCAGGTCCCCACTGCTGCCCATGTTTTGATCTCTGCTGTCTGGGACCCTCACCCCTCAATGGAGTCTGTTGTCTTTGGTGCACAGCCTGGTATGTGCAAGGACTGCAATTAAAGTGTGTGACACCCAGTGAGCAACCCCAAAGAAAGAAGATGTGTGAACACTGAGGCCAGGAAGACGATCCCCGTGAGTACTGTGACTGAGTGTGAGAGCACTGCAGAATGCATGCAACCCCTGGTCCCCACCACAGCAGCAACAAAGGGAAAATAGAATCAACTCATTCATTTAAAAATGATCTAGGGGCTGGAGAATAGCACAGCGGGTAGGGCGTTTGCCTTGCACATGGCCGACCCAGGTTCAATTCCCAGCATCTCATATGGTCCCCTGAGCACCACCAGGAGTAATTCCTGAGTGCATGAATCAGGAGTGACCCCTGTGCATTGTCGATGTGACCCAAAAAGAAAAAATGACCTAATGGTGTGCTCGCTTTGATAGCACATAGACTAAAATTGAAATGATACAGAGATTAGCAAGGCCCCTGAGCATGGATGACACATATCAAAATAATGGCTACATAAAAAGTCAACTGCAGAGGTGAAAACATTTCATGTAGCCGGGTTAGGGAGTACAGTGGGTAGGACATTGGCCTCAAATGAGACCAACGGAGCTTCAATCCATTGCACACCAATATAGTCCCTCAAGCACTGCCAAGAGTAATTCCTGAGTGTAGAGCCAGGAGAAAGTCCTGAGTACCATCAGATGTGCCACCCCCTTCTCCAAAAACAAAGTTTCATGTACTGTTACCAAGCAAAAGAGTGTCACCAAGTTCAGCTATTAAGCTACCTTGTGAAGCCAGCTAAGAGGGCGTATTCTGGAGAGGGTAGGCAGGGCCCTTCCATATTCAAGTTTTCATAATTCAAGATGCCAAAGCAGAAGTCTCCCCAGCACCCCAGAGTGAGTCTGAGTGGTCTGGTTAGCCATCTTGCTAATGGAACCCTCTCTTGTGAACTAACCGAGAGGTAAGCAGCATGCACACCAGTTAGCAGCAACTGAGCTTAACTTACCTGTTGTGCACAATGCTGTGCTTGACCCCAAGGAGTGTGGTGCACACTCTGGCCTTCTGGGTATATCAAAGATAGAGGGAGAAGTAGGACAGAGCTTGTGAGGAGTCCACCCGGCTACAGGACAGTAAGTGCTACGCCAACCAGCAGGCTGAGCCCCTTTCTCTCTGACCCAGACTGAACTCATCTTTACGCAACTGATAAATAGAAGGCCTCTCTTCCCTCCTCTCTCCTTTTATATGTTTAATACTCAAAGCCCTTATAAAACATCATGTAGGGGCCAGAGAGATGGTACAGAGGGCAGGGTATTGCCTTGCACACATTCAACCTAGGTTTGATCCCTGACAACCTGTATGGTCCTTTGAAGATTGCCAAGAGTAACCCCAAGCATTGCCAGGTATGATCCAAAACCCAATAGTAAATGAATCGTGTAAATGACATCCAAAATTAGAAGAGGGAATATAAGAAGTAGGAACCCAGGTGCATCTGCATACTGGCATCACCTACATCTCAACGTTGGCTATGTAGTTCCTTTCTTGGTGGCAAACCTTCAGCTCTCACCCCTTTTGAGAAGTCCACATTGTCTCTTTAATATGTCTCAGTCTCTGTCTCCACCACCCCATATAGCCATAATAAAACTATTTTACTTTAACAACAACAACATACCACAGAGCGTGCAGATATAAGTAATCAATGACAGTGCAGCCCACAGTCCTCTCTGAAGAGTCCTCCAGCCCTCTCTAAAGAGGCCCCTAGGTCCAGTGCCTTGGGAAAGTCAGGCAACACCCCGGGGAAATGGGAGGAGCAGAATGTGCTTTGCACACAGCATCTTCCATCTAAGAAGAGGCTGGGCTGGCTGGTGCTGGGACCAGCAAAGAGACAGCAAATGGATTTCTGCACTCTGTTAAGGGAGGAGGGGATGGCTGAAGTTGACCCTGTCTGCTAAATTTACCAATAATGGAATGACAAAGCCAAAAATGAGGTAATTAAGCTGAAATGGGCAAAGAAATGCTTTCCATAAATGAATATTGGCATTATCCAATTTCCCTCCAACAAATCTGCAGCAGAGAACCCTGACCATGCTGAGTCTGTGATGTGACTTAACATGCTTCTTGGCTTCATAATCAGAGTAACCTGGGTCGGACTCCCACTTCAGATCCTCACAAATGGTATGACCTGAGACAAGTTGGTTTTTCTGAGTCTCAGTCATAAAATGACCTCCGGAAGGCACGTTAGGGTAAAGTCAGATGGGTGGTATAAAGCTTCTCAAATATTGCCTGGCATATGGTAAATACATAAACATTCCAAAGAGATAGTATAGCAGGGAGGTCATTGTGCTCTCATGTGACCAACTAGGGTTTGATCCTTAGAGTCCCATATGGTCCCCCGAGCCTGCCTGAGCACCACTGGGTGTGGCCCAACAATTTTTTAAAAACACATAAATCCTTTCTTGTCCTTCTACCCCCTACCGCATCAGTAATAATCACTTATGGAAATTTCCAAAATGTCAAATAGGAAATGCTAACCACAACAAAAAGTATTTCAGGGCCTGAAAGAAAAGCACAAGGGCTTAGATCTCCTGCCTTGCAAGCATATGGTCAGGAGTTCAAATCCCTGGAGTTCCACATGCATGAGCATGATCCTGACAGTCCTGATGTTTGCTCCTGTCTGCTTTAGTGTCTGTGATGCCTAGTGTCACAATGGATCTCCAGTTGTACTCTAGCTGGGTGTGTATAAGCACCACTAAAGGGGCTAGATCCTTGGTAGGTGCACGGCTAGTATATGTTCCAGTGTGCCATGCCCAGGAGCTGCCGTCTCTGGTCAGCATGCTTGTAGCACCACAGCTTCTGCCACAACCATAATTGTGTGTGAGCTCCAGGGAGCATGTGTGCAAACATCACAAATGAAGGAACGCAAACCTCTCATGAGCACTGTGGCCAAGTGTGTGAGCACCATGGCATGATCTGGGTTCAAAAGTTGTGAATACCATAGTCAAGTGTGTGCATGATCCCTGGTCATTGCAACAGCAGCAACAGCAATGACAACGAAGATGGAGGTGGTGACAAAGCCAGGGGAGGAAATTTATCTGAGGGGGATATTGTTGGGCCATCAGCACATATTCAAGGCTCATTCTTGGCTCTCTGTTCAGGGATCACTTCTGGCAGGGCTTGGGGAATTTATGGGACTCAGGGTGATAAAACTAGGGGCAGATGTATGCCAGGCAAATATATTAATCCCCATACTATCTGTCTGGCCCAGGAAGAAAAAGGGCAGGAATTAAAAATAAATAAACCTTATACGAAGGTCAATATATGCCCTTTTAAGTAAAAAACTTGATCCAGGTTTTTTCGGAGATTATCAGAACAGCTTGTTATCTTTGCATTTGTTTATTTGAGTACCACAGCCAGTGGTGCTCAGGGGCTACTCCCAGATCAGTGCTCGGGGAGCCATGCAGTTCTGGGGACAGACCCAAGACCCTCTGCATGTAAAGCATGTGCTCAATGCATTGAGCTCTCTCTGGGGCCCACAACTTGTTTTCTTAATGAGACCTGGCAGAGGCCTTGGAAGATTTAAGGATAGTCAGGGCATCTGGAGACAGCCTTCTTTCCTCTCTCATCTGGTGAAGGTGCAAGACTTCCAGCAGTACTGGCTAGAATGATTAAAGGCAGAACACATCAAACTTCGCAACAATGGTTGACTTTAAAGGAAACTAGCTTTAGAGAATCACAATGGGGTCGCCAAAATAGGCGAATGGATTTGAAAAGTATTTTGAAGAGTAATTTGAAAGGCAGTATTGTATTCCTATTATCCCTATTATTAAAAAGGAAAAACCTGAATTCAGACTGGGAAGACTGCTACACTCTCTGCTAGCTTTGCTTTTCACGCAGTGAAGTCTCACCGTCACCTCCAGCAGCGCCCACTCTGAACTATGTGGCAGGGGAGGAAAGGTGGAGGCAGGTGGGGCTTAGCTAAGCTAATGGAAAATTGAGAGTTATAAATGCTTCGTGAGTCTCAAAACTCATCTTTTAACAAGGAAAAATAGTTTTTCTGAAACTTCTTTGTTGACAAATCACTTTTATTCCATTATTTCTGTAGTAGTTAGGCATTAGCACATTAAAAAGCATTAGTATACAAAAATGAAAATTTTAAGAGGTCTGTTGCATAGCAATATAAAGATACTTGACACTTCCAATTGTATACTGAAAAATAGTTAAGACAAGGGACTGGGGAGATGGCTCAAAGGATTGAAGCATAAGCTTTGCATGCAAAAGCCCTGGGTTTAATCCCTGGTCCCCTGAGCACCAACAAAAAAAGAAAAATAATTAACTTCATAAATTTTATGTTATGTCTGTGTGTTTTAAATCCCCTGTAGCACTGTCCTCCCGTTCGTCGATTTATTCGAGCGGGCCCAGTAATGTCTCCATTGTTAGACTAGTTGTTACTGTGTTTGGCACATCGAATACTTCAGGGGTAGCTTGCCAGGCTTTGCCGTGTGGGCGAGATACTTTTGGTAGCTTGCTGGGCATTCCAAGAGGGGCGGAGGAATCAAACCTGGCTTGGCCGGGCCGGCCGCACACAAGGGTGTGTGCCAGCAGTTTTTCCATTTGGGACTATCCTAGTGCCTCAGTGGAGTGTATAATCCCCAGCTCAGCTCACCATGGCCAGGTGTGTGAAAGCACCTCAATTGAAAATTGTGGGGGCCAGGAAAATAGGATAGGGGTTGGGACTCCTGCAACGCACCTGGCCCAGGTTCTGTCTCAGCACCACACAGTGCCCTACCACTGTGCTATCGCTCCAGCCCCTTAAATGCCCCCCGCCCCCTGTTCCTTTTTTTGCTGCTATTATTGCAGTGACAGGGGATTGTCCACACAGTAATGATTTTAGCTCCAGGGAGGTCACACTTTTTCTTGGGGAGGGCCTTCCAAGCCGTCAAGGATCCGGGCGCCACCCCTGGTGGTACTCAGTCTTCCAGGCTGGTAGTTAAGGGCTTGACCTCCCGGATGCAATGCTGCTGGGGTCATGGGGCTGTGGGGGCCACCAAGGCAGCTCTCAAAGGCCTTGTGGTGCTGAGACGGAACCTGGGCCAGGTGCGTTGCAGGAGTCCCAACCCCTATCCTATTTTCCTGGCCCCCACAATTTTCAATTGAGGTGCTTTCACACACCTGGCCATGGTGAGCTGAGCTGGGGATTATACACTCCACTGAGGCACTAGGATAGTCCCAAATGGAAAAACTGCTGGCACCCATCTTTGCATATGGAGGAGGACCAGGGATTGAGCTCATGGCTTCACACTTATATGGTAGATGCTTTAGCCACTGAGCCATCCCTAAAACCCTGCTGTGTGTATTTTTAACCACAATTTTAAGGCTACAATAAGAAATCAAATTTACATAGTAGATACAAGAAAATCACCAAATAAATTCAAATAAAAACATTAATCTAGTATGACAGTGGTAACATTTTATTAAAAACAAGTAGCCAAAGTTGAATTTAATTAAAATTTACATATGTAATTATAAAA